TCTTCAATTGAATAGGGAAAAAAATCAGCATTAATATTTTCTGCTGCTGCAATGGCGCTCTGCAGTGTTTGGTGAAACCTGGTATTTTCCCATGACTTTAACAGACAATAGGGTTTTACAGCAGGAAATGAAATATACAATAGAACAACAATTTACAGTAAAACAAGCCATCGTGACACCCAACCTAACACTCACACAATTAATTGATTTTGTAGATATTAGGCCGGTCACTCTGCCGGTATAGGCTAATATGATGCCAAGCCTATATCACTGTGGCTTATGTTGCATTGTTAGTTTGTTGACTTTTTTTGTGTGACATAGAAGAAGAAGAAGAAAAAAAAAGAAACAATGGTACATGGTTAATCTGACTTGATGAACAACAGAACTAATTCAAGTCTACATCCTCTTTCGAGCTGCCTATCATACATCATTTTTTAAAGAAAGATCTAAATTGCACATTATCCAGTGTGGTGTCGTTACTTAAATAAAGACCACAAAGTTTCAATGTCTCAGTGTTCTTTTATTATTATATCTTAACAAGGCCTAGTAGCTAGGATACATTGACAATGACATATCAAAACCCTGGAACAATTAAATGAGAGGCCCAAAAAGAGATAAATTCTTTAACGTCAGTCCGAGTTTTTGGTCTAACAGATTCATTAGAATCATTTTCTTTTAATATTGAGATTTTATTACCGAGTCAGCATCACCTACACAGCATCCAATTAATTACATTTCCATAACAATTTCACATTCAAATGAGCATAGAATGGCATCTTTATGTGAAATTGTATTATAACATACTATTTTTCAGTCTTTTTAAAAACAGATTTTATTATTTCTTTATAAAAAACAAAACGTTTATAATTATAATTATTATTATTATTACAAATCAACTGCTCCACCCATCCAGCTACAAATGCATGGAAGTATGCACATAAAAGAGACCTTACTCATAAAATAGAAGGATCTTGGTGTCGGTCTACCGGTGCTGTTTAAAAAAAACAAGAATATAAGAATAATTTAGAATATATGGAATACTTAATATAGAAAATTACATTAATACATTACACAATACATTACAACTACACATCAATTGCTTGCCATGCTGCTGTAACAAACAAAAAAATGAAATCAGTCCATGTAAGTATATTACAGTGTAAAGTCTTTGCAAAGTAAAACACAACAACAAAAAAGATATGCACTTTCCATGACAAAATACTATAATAGAAAGTATATGTTGCAGACTTCATAATGTTAATAAAACATGCATACAAAGTTTTGAAGTAGTTGTTATTCTGTCTGCAATGTTTTCACTTTGGCTATAGCATACATTGCCTTGTTCCACCAGGATTTGTTCTTTCATCCCTCTAAAGCTGTCTAAGCCCAGACGCAGGCTAAATGAGCATGCCCACTCATGAATGCTGTTGGTTAATTACAATCCCTGATGGAAAAACCGTTGAGGGAGAAGCCCGAACACAGCCACACGTTAGGATAGAAACAGAAGTGTTTTTTTTTTTACTAAAAACACTAAATGTATGTGTTCAAGTGTATATAAATGTCATTAAATAAATAAAAAAGGTGTAATTTTGTCCGGTCCTCCACACAACACACAGAAGCATTCAGCATGTGCTTCAATTTGATTTACAAAAATTAAATTGATGTGTTGAATGGGGTTTTTGAAAGGCCTTGTTACAGTTACTGTGTTGGATGCAGAGGCACTGCAGTATCTGAGAGTGGGATCTATTGCCAACAGTGGTACAGATTGACATTTACATACAGTATGTTGAAGGTATTTAACTAGCAGCTGCAGTGAACATGGGAATAAATTAATGTTGGGGAAAAAAATAATTGAACAACTGTCGGCTATAACCTACGGTAAATTCAAGAAAATTTTAGTTGTCATTGCCGTTTTGTCCGGCTAGAGTGACCAAATTACACATCAACACCAAAGAGGAATCAAGGATGTAAAATTAAATTTAATGTTTAACCAGTAAGAAGAACAAAATATCTGTTGTCTATCATTATATAATGAACACACAGTAGCGTGCTGCATTTCAGATCATATCATTCAGAAATGGAGATGCATCTTGAATCGTGATACCTGCAACACTAAATTCACTAAATAGTTGAACTGAATTTCACACAGTGAATTTCTATGCTACCTTCTGTGGTTAACCAAATGTGTGCTCCAAATGCCACATTACTCTATTTAAGCAAAAAGCTCCCGGTTTCTGTAAAGGAACTCTATGCCACACATAAATTATTCAGTAGTATTTGCATTTGCATTGTAATTTGCATTCTTGTAGATTACAGAGAATGGAGAAGGAGGCGCTGCGCCAAAGAGAATTACATTCTGAACCAATTTCTGCCTTACTGGTGAGGAGTTGACATGGATTTTTGTTCTATTTTCCTCCGCTGCTTCGAGGTATACTGCTGAGATCAGTGACACACATTTCAAACTGTTGTTTGATTAATAAAAGAAGGAAACGATGTATAATGTTCACCAGCGCTCACACACAAAAAGAACTGCCATTAAAAATGAATCATGACATTGAACAATGAGTCTATTTGATTGACTAGGCTGAGATTTTTACTGTAATATTCTCATCATCTTTATTTATATTGTAAGGCTTGTGAGTTGAAACTCAAAGGAACTAGTAGGCACAGAGGAGATGTCATATGGATTAAACACTAGGAAGGGGTGTGAAACTCTCACAGTACACTGAAGATCCTGGCTATTATGTTTCATCTAAAAATAACAAGCCTGACTAAAAAGAACAGACAACACAGAATGTGAAAAGAAAAAAAAACACAAGCTCCAGAGAGAATAGAGTTCAAACAGCAGCAGTAATAGTGCTGAGTGTGATATGGAATACGACGAGAAGAATGTACAGTACGAGACTCCCTTCAATTATAAATGAAAAGGAAATCAGTGCGAAATGTATGGAATAACCCAGATACTAAAATAAAACATTGTCTGTGTCTCTCTAGAGCCACTTTTGTGAAACAACGTCCTGTTTTCAAAATGGTAAAGATTTCATGTGTCTTGTGTAATTCTTATTTTCTCATGTGAATTACTGCATCGCTTTAACTTAATTGCATTCATTGCTGACATCATCATTATTAAACAGCAATCTTTAGAGAGATACCTCCTAGGCCTCGGGGCAGAATCGTAATTAACAGGAGAAATGTGCAAGAGAGTAGACTGAGACAGTGTGGAAGCACGGTCCTGCAGAGTGTGTGTGTGTGTGTGTGTGTGTGTCTACATGCCATGAGGGGCTGGTATGATGCATAAAGGGGGTGGGGTAGGTATCCCTGCAATAAGAGAGGACGGTTTAACCAACGTTTGCGCATGTGTAAATACAGCCTAGCACTTATATACCCACATGTTGATGTACATGCCACTTTATGTCTACAGTTGCAAACACAAATCCACAAACATGTACTGCGTGTTTGAGTGTTCAGCATTTGATTGTGTGCCTGAACCATTCTGCATGTTATTCTTATTTTAGATTAATGGAATTAGGTTTTGACATTTGATGTGCCTCACTTTCTCGTTCATACAGTATTTTAAGAACTCTCATCCAATGCTAAAAACTGGAGAGGGAAAAAAAGGCTCCTTTTACTGAATTCATCAGAGTGACTGTAAGTAATATTACTGAGGGTAAATTATTGGTGCACCTTACAGATAATTCCTGATTCAGGGTTATTTTATTGAGATTTCCACTCATTTACCACCTCAGTGCATTATGGAACAGACCAAACTCTCATTTGTAGTGATGGAAATAAAAACAATGTTTTACTGTCTATTAAGTTAGTGTTTACTTAACAGACAAATAGTCCATAGGAAGTACACTGTAAGTTTAGGCAAACATATGCAAGTAAGACAATTATAATTTTCTGAAAACGCATCCCTTATTGATTTATTTGAGAATTGAATTAAATGTCTGTGTGTTTTAATGTTGTAAGTGATGTACATACCACTATACATAATTGTACTTAAAACAGCAGCAGTACCTCATATTGTTTCCATGAAAATGCCACGTGCGCCACAAAACAAATCTAATAGCCTTACTCCAACTTTCAAATAGGCGTAGTAGCAGTAGTAAGCAGACTACAGGAAACATAAATTCCAGAAAGAGATGTGGAAAACTATAAAATACTGTATGACAAAACAGTAACACTCAAAAAAAAAAAATAAATACCAGGAACTTTAAATGATATCTGGTACAAAACACACTCTTGTATTATGTGCCACTTTGTCACATAAGCATGAAACAGTTCATCAAAACAGTGTAACAGTGTATGTGTATTACTAGGATGGAGTTTCATGGTAAATGTCAATGGTGATCACATTTAACATGAATTGTGCCCACGAATGTTGAAATATAACCACTAAAAAAGCAACCTATAGCTCATTTGGAGTCTCCCTGAAGGGTTTCAGTAGGTGAGTTAGGCCTATATCGCTGCAGCCTGTGGCATTTCCTACTTTCTCATTCTGCCTAGATACAATTTGTGAATGTATATTACTTAAAAGTGTCACAGCAGTAACCCCTGTGAGGGTCGAGCAGCCTGTAAGAGTGGCTTTCATTCAGGGTAGAGGGGCCTGCAGTGCTCAGACACAGAGTGCAATGTTTGCTGTTAATAATAATTCCCAGATCAACACAAGCAGAAACCGGGAGACTGTGTTATCTGCCTGATCTCGCTGATGTGATCACCTCCACACATCTGATGCAGGTACCGATCTGTCATGTGTGATGGTGACTCTTTGCTCTCTTCCGGTTGCGGAGAGGTCCTAATACATCCTTATAGCGGTCCTGGTCTAATCCTATACAAAATTACAAAATAGACTCAATTTCTATGTCAAATTAAAAACAACACCGCATACGTGTACATTTTTCTGTATAATATGACACATTTTAATTTTAATTTCGTAGGAGTACGAGTCATCAAACCCTCGTATTTCACCCGCATGTCTACAGGCATACGCGACAACACCTCCTTGCCCAAAATTGTAGCGTGACCTCTACTGCAGTTGAAAAATACTTGTGAGCGGAGGTTGGAGCCGTCGATTTCTGACCATATAACCCATCTCTGCAAAGGATACGATGACAATTTGAATGAGAAACCCCTTCATTTTGTGCACAGCCATCGCAAGAAGGGCTTATGTGCTCCTCGTCGCTTGATCTCCGACTCGGGGTGCTCAGTGTTGTCGGGGAAGAGTCCGTTTTAGCTGCACTGCATCAACATGGTGAGTTGTGACAGAGAGCCCCTGAACGCAACGTTATCTCGTATTTGTCGCACTTCGTTTTTACAGAGCATTAGTTTCTCCTTACATGCATTCTCATGTGGAGACATAATCTCTGCGTTCAGCCGGTTTGTTGTTATTGTGCTCGCAGCGTTAGCTTTAGCTTGCTAGCCGCTGCTGGTGCTTGTATAGCCGGCCGGTGTGTGTTAGCTGTTTAGCTAACAGTATGTGACGGGTTTTTTAAAAGTGGTGTTAGAGACACATAACGTTTCCAGTGTTTGGGACTGTTGGCAGTATAGCGTGTGTTGTCGGATAGAGGTTGAGGATACGTTATATTTGCCTGAATGAATCATACCAGCATACAGTTAGCATGCCGTAGCAGGACACCTCTGGGGGGGAGGGAGGGAGGGAGGGAGGGAGTCAAGGTGTGTTCACTTACCTGACCTGCTCGGTTTGACCTTAGGATGCCCTCAGAGTAGATGTAATTTAGTATAACAACTCGTTTGATGTAACTTATTCGCAGTTTCACAAACATTTGTTGAACACTGATGGTTAAAATCAAATGTCATGTCAAGATTTTTAAGATTTGAGGGAAATTGAGGATTCATAATGTTCACTGCAAGCTGCACTGTGTATATAATGTTATACTGGTCAAAAATGGACAGTTCTGATTGCATACATTGTAGGGTTGTTTTGTTACAGCACTCGTTTCCAAATAATGTCAACCTCAACACAACCAGCACACGTAGATCTCAAACCGTAAAATGGGATGAAGCTTAATAAGTAATCTTTGTTTGTATTATTGTGAATATTGAGGTGAGTTTGTGTAATTCTTTAGATACAATCAGAAAGTCCCAATGTGCTGGATGTTATCCTCTGTAACAGCTGCCAGGACAGGAAAACAGTGACAACATGTAGAAAATAGCATTAGTAATGTGGAAATGATCACCAGGCAGGTAGAGCCCCACTCATTCTTCAAATCAAGTGAGTGGTGTCTCTTACTACAAAAGTATTAGGATCATTTCGAAGTACAGTATGGCCCATATCAACTGCAATACGTCTGTGAGAAAGTGTAGTCAATATTTTCATTCAGGAGTTGAACGGGTTAGAGAGAAGGATTAAATACACTCAAGGGTAGTCAAGATGAATGGAACTGGTAAAGCATCAGTCAGTCAGGGGTTCCACTGCTTCAAAGTTAGTTTCATGGGCAAAATAGTAGTGAGGTGTTTGAGCTCTTATTGATGGTGGTTATCACTGCAGCTCCCACTCCTTACCCCCTACAGATTTCATTTGGTTGTTGTGTGGAGGGGGTCAAGCGGACTGGGCAAGATAAGAGAGTCCATGCTGGCTCAATTTCCCCCGGGCCTGAGATCCTTGCAGAGCCCCCACAGAGCATGGTCAGCATCCACCAAACGAAGGCTGTGTGCTTTTGACCTATATAGCATGACCATTACTCAGACGGAGAAATGTCTTGAGTCAGAGAGGTTGTATTTGGTCACGCGTCACATCTTGAGTGAGTATGATTGCCAAATTAATGGCACCCACTCTCCCCTCTGTGACTCCAGAAGAGGTATTGACTTTAGCTTTTGCAGCTTACCCCCTGCTGGGTGACACTGGGGATCCCCATGACCAATCCAAAAACTAGGTCTAGTGGCCATCATTCACTTCCAACTTCTACACCTACTGTATTCTGACATAGGTTTAACCTTCACTCGGAAATACATTTATTAGTATTATGCACAGGGTTGTTCATTATGATGAATGTATGCTCGTTGTACAGTCTTATGTTTGAAGCAGGATATGTGTGAACTTAAGTTAGCATATGCAGCCCAAGACCCCACTTCTTGTCATCTTGTCATTGCAGAAATTCAATTCAAAGCTTAATGCTGAAGGCTGCACTAATAAAAAAAAAAAAAAAAAAAAACGTGGTGCAAAAATTAATTAAAGTAAGAGATTTGCAGAAACCAGAGAATGGTGAGCTTGGGCATCGTTATCAGTGTTTGTTGCTGGAAGGAGAGAGTATTGCGCACAGACACTACAACAATAACTAAGCACAAGGTATGCTTCATGCTGGCCAGGATCTGCCAAGGACCCGCTAGATGATGGACCGACCCAGACGACACATTTTCAGAGTCTGCGTGTCAGCATGTTCGAGTTTTTACTTTTTGAATAGATTGAGTCCTATATTAATTTTCCATTCTATGAAAGACTTATTCCTTAATGGACCAACAATTCTTTAGATTGCCACTAAGAGGCACATTAGGCAAAGTAAATTTCCCTTTTAGGGTGAATTCAGGCTCTATTGAGTAGAGGGCAGGGAGCTTTGTTTAGCCTAATATTATTGATGCGTCAACATCACGTTAAGAAAACAGAGGCCACAGGGTCTATTGCTGTATATTCATGTGATGAGTTTTCAGGTGTAGATTCACTGGTATGTGTCCATGTGCGAGCACAGATAATGTGACTGTTGTTGGCAAAGAGAAAAAAACTATTTTATTGGGGATTAGTTAGCTAATTGGTTCTCTTTGCTCAAATGTGTGTGGGCACAGATATCAATGATTCCTGCTGATTGCCAAAGAGATAGGCCAGCCTGCAGACCTTACCCTACAGTGAGTGGATAAAAGCGCAGCATGGAGAGAATGATTCTGGCCTCTTAAGCTTAAGTGAATATTGATCTAAGAGTGCTGGGTTGAGATTGAGCTCCTTATGTTACTAAATCTGTGGGTACCTACCACAGGAGTGCTGGCTGTTCATTCTCCTGGGCACATGGAGGCTGACATCGTGCAGACAGAGCAGAAATGAGTGAACACTGTATTTACACCACAAAACTTACTCACATTACAGTTGTTGGTTGGTTAATAATTCAGTCCCTTATAATCAGACTGACTGGTCCATTGTGATCAATACATTTTTTTGTATGTGCCATTTCATGATATTAATCATTTGTCACTCTGTCAGTAATTTGAAATTGCATCAGTCATACATATTGTGATTTTGGATATGGAACTGGCTAATATAGAGAATTAAATACCTGCTAAAAATGCTGTAAATACAGTACTGCCATGAAACAGTCTTGCTCATTGACTTCCTAATCCAACCAGGTATATTAAAGGCACCAGCACTTTGGTAGAAACTGTATAGAACAATCTCTTCTGGTTGCCAAATGTCAATCACCTCAAGGACAGTGGACTAGTGTTTTGGGTGTTTTTTGTCATTTTGTTTTGCTAATGGGTTCCCCCCAAATAGCGAGTGAGAGCTGCTGCTCAGCAACAGACTGAAACTAGGTGGATGGACCGGCACTGCAAACAGTCCTGCGTGAATATATCGGCAACTGCCACGTGCTACGTCATCACGTCTACCCCAGCTGCAAATTGTAGACTTGAACTTCACCAATCATGCAAGAGGCATCTTTCTGCAGAGTAGTGGGGAGTCCCAGGCACTTTAACGTACCATGTTATTTACCATGCAGGCACTTGGGAGTGGATCTCAGTATTGTTATACAAGTATGACGGTAGCCTATAACATTACACACAGTAGCCACAGTGTCTCTTTTTGGTTCTACAGCTCATTTAAATTGGAAATTGTCATATTATACACATAGTGTTTCAGTGGAAAAAAGAGTATGCATTGCTTTAAGGACTCCAGAATAGCCTGTATGTTTTTGGCTCGACTGAATAACACTGAAGTGATTAACTCCCGCGTCCTACAGACTGCTCTCCTTGTCTGTGTTTATGGTGAAATGAAGGTCATTCTGTGTTTGAATTCTGGATCTTAATCAAGGTTGCTGAGCCTAATCTTTCAACTTTCTCTTCTACAGTATTTACCAAGAAAATATGCTTTCCTTTGGTGTTTCCCGTAGACTGGTCCAATGCAGCTTATGCGTTATTGGCTGCATTATTAATCAAACACCTCATCTAGAAGAAAGAGCCATGTATTCTCGCAAATCACACATATTTATCCTGGGGATGCACAATATGAGGTTTTTGGCCGATACATGCACCTTATTTTTTTTCAATGTAATTGCAGAAAACATTAAGTATCTCCTCTCCTGTAGCGGAATTAACATATAATTATGCATACTCTTATCGTTAGGGTCCACTGGCAGATGCAGACATAAATTAAATGCACACATTCACATTCAAATTGTAAAATTCATCCTACTGTAACTGTAATTGGATGATGCTTTCTCTGAGACAATCCTGACAACAACCAGGGTAAATTTAACCCATTTCACAAGTTGCAAAACGAGTAAATAAATGCAGTTACTGTCCACAGGGATAGGTAAGTTCATTCTACAATTGTACAGCAATTAAAGAAAGAACACTGATAGACAAAGTGTGCTCTTTTTCACACTGCTGAATAAATTAGCCTGAATCAGTAGGCAACATGTTGTTTACAGGCCATTGCTTAAACTCAGTAACTGAATAAAATAAAATAGGATGAGAGCTCACGTAAGGCCACACCTGAGAAATACCTGCAGCAGGTCACCATGTGGTGTGTGTTGTCCACAAATCCTCAACAAATAAAATAGCTGGTTGTCCAGAGAAATGCACTCCGTGTAGTTTCTGATTGATGTATTCATATTTTTTGGCCCTTGTTTAAGGACTGGAGAAGAGGCTGCTGAAAACACGTTTTCCCTTGTGCCTGTTTATCTTTGTTCTTCCCAAATTTCTCTTAATGATTGGGATTACATCTCCTAAGATAAGTAATTCTGTTTGTAAAAGGAATGACCAGCGTTGCGCAATCATTGCAAATATCAACTTAGCTATCCCTTTACAGAAACTTTAAAAGACCTACACACCGCAGGCATGTTTGTCCCTCTTTCCGCTCACAGACGTGGTAACGTCCTCTTCGCCTCACGTCCCATCGCACTGGCGGACACAGCTTCAAGCATTTAGCCTAGTTAATGGTGTAATTTAAGTGTCATCTTTTGGAAGAAGTTTCATTTTAAAGCCTTTATCCGCATATGCTGATGACGTGCTGTTACATTGTGCATCCCTATCCTACGGAACCATAAATGTTCTTAGCACATTTCGTGGAAGTGCACAACTAGATTTTGTTTACAGGTTTAACTTTTGGCCAGATGGTGGAGCAGTATATGATGATATGATCCATTTGTGGGGACCATGAATGTTAATGCAGAATTTCATGGCGACAAAAACATTATAACCAAGTCTTTTGCCTCACCTCTGTCAAATACCAGCTAGCTCACTCATTATACTGCCAATGAATTGTCCTCAGAAACACTAGAGGCAGTGCTATAGAGTTTAACCCATCACATACATACACAAGCATACATACGTTTGTTTGTGTTGCTAGATAGTGTATCAGGGAAACAATCAATCTGTAATCAGCATGTTTGTTGGGTCAACATACTGTATGTGTCCCCATTGAAAGACATGCTGGTGTGTTGGTGGGTATCAACAAGTTTGTTTGTATGTGTGTGAGGGCACGTTTAAAGAGAAGTTGTGACACCAAGACTTTTGATCTGAGATCTGTAATATGATTTTTTTAAGGTGCAGTTTGAAGATATGCTTGAGCCTTTCAGTCTACAGTATATAAACCTATACATATGTGGAACTGCTTTATGGTATGTACAATTATTATTTAAATGTGATTTACCCCATCTTGTTTCCGCAGGGTGTGATCGGTGTGCAGCTGGTGGTTACCATGGTAATGGCCAGTGTAATTCAGAAAATCATACCTCATTATTCATTTGCAAGATGGCTACTCTGCAGTGGCAGGTAATGTAGTATCCTGTACATGCTGTTTCAGATAGTTTCTCTAAATGCTACAGTTTCATTTCTACAGTTGCCTTCTGAGAAGTTGATTTCAAAACGAGTCTGCAACAATGGGGATCATAATGTTTACACAGATGACAGATGATGAGTGTTCAAAAGGGTTTGGATAGAATAATAAGAAAAAAAGGATCATTAAATCATACTGCAAAGACCAAAGGGCATCACATTATTAGGATGACCCGAGAGGACGGTGCGTAAAAATAAAGTCCCCGCCTCATTTCCTCTAATTAGTGCCACATATGTTTTTCAACAGCTTCTTGGAACACATTAAATTATTAATTCATTTTTCTTTTCAGGGCACTGTTGAAACATTTTTCAAAAACTTTTTGCCCCAAGCATGAGGTCTGCAGTGTCCCTCCCAAATATTTTGTAATTAATTTTTCCATAATAAATAGATGCTTATGGTGAAAAACAAGCTGTGCTCTTTCTACTTTCCTTTGCCACAAAGAGTGCTTCTCGTGATGCTCTGACAAGAGGGTTTCTAAACAAAGTTAAGGAGGGTGCCTGAAATGCTTGTCTTCAAAGGAGGCTCTTAAATTAGCTCCTATTTCAAACTCCGCCCTTAAGGACAGATAACCTTCCTTTTGTAAAGCCTCTAACGAATGCTTTTTAGATGTGTATCAGAGTCGCTGATACAAAGTAAAACATTGAGAAATGTCTTTTTTATATGTGTTTTTTGCAAGTTAATAATAAAGCTCAGAACTGTTATAAATGTAGGCTTTGAGTTGTTCAGATATGCCATACTTAATGTCAATGCTTTCAAGAACATTTTTCAATGAGATTTTTGAAATTATTGCTTTAGGGAGAGATGTAAAGACATTTTAAGCTTTTAACATTAAGAGAGTTCATCTCATTCTTCCAAGAAATGGAAGTGAACAGACAAGTGATTATCAAACATGTCTCTTGTTTTAGTCCAAGTCACATGATAAATATTTTATACTTTGTGTTAATAATGACATACTAGGACAACAAACCTAGCTCAGTCAGTTTTTTTCCAGCTTTGAAAATATCTGCCTCACTGTGTCCTCTTTCTTACTCTTTCTTCCTCTGTCCATGTCTGAGCCTGATTCCACATCTCTCTCCTTTTCTTTGTTCACAGTCTGCGTTGGTATCAGCACCCCACGGAAGATGAGTTGAGGAGCTTAGCTGGGAAACAAAAAGGACAGAAGAGGAAAGACAGGTAGGTAGGAAGCGGGGGCTGGAATGAAGAAGGGCTATTGTTTGGGGGTTGGGGAACTGCAGTGGCACAGAGGAGGTACGAAAGGCACTCCTTTCATCAGAGAGGAAAGAAAAGATGAGAAGCAGACATTTGAGATGGATGGAGACCACAGGCATGTCAGCAAACAGATGATGCTGATGTGTTTATGTGGCTCATTTAAGGCCTGTTTGAAGTAAAGAGACAGAAATCTGTTTTTGTTGTTTTGTTCCTCTATGGCTCTTCATCGAGGCTCAGAACAACTCGGCTTAGAAGTGTCCCTGTCTAGTAGATGTGACGAAAGTTAGTCCTGTTTTTTGGGCGCCATTACTAGTTAGGCTATTTTAGGGGATGACAGTTTAAAAGGATTGCATCCTCTCTGAAATCAAACAGCATTATGTCTTCAGAGTGGTCAGATGCCAAGCTTTGATCTGGAAGAAGATTTTCCTTCAAGACTATTTTGCAATTCAAAAAATCTACTATTGAATTTTTAGGGCTGCAGGTGGAAGTTGTGACCATATGTTGAACACGTGAATTTAGTGCCGTTTCCTTTGTGCTCTCCTCTTAAATGTGAATTTCAATTGAAGTCACAACTGAAAGCTAATCCTTACTGTTCCTCATGGTGTCCAGCTTCTAACTTAAGGCAGTTTTTGTAGCACAGTCCTTTCTCAGACCCCATATGAGGCAGGTCAGGGCTCTTTTAGCGCCACATGTCCAGTAATCCCTTGAAGAAAAAGATGGACCACTGTCCTTTTGCCAGCTCGTGCCATGCAGCTCCATTCCTTTTGTGAACGGTCTGACTCCCTCAGTCAGGGGTGAAGCTGAGCCCCTTTTTTTCCTGTCAGGTGCCTCAGAGATGAAATCTGTCCAGGGCATGTTTGGCCCTTGAGTCTTACAGTGGTATTGTCCTGTGAATACAGCGCACACACAGTGCTGAACAAACAAAGCCCAGGACTGAAGAGGCCCACCAGACACTTCTTCAAGCCTAAAGTAGAGCTCCCCATAAGCCTTCTGTTGCCAATTTAGCACTACCTATCTATTGCCCTATCCCTGCCTATCCCTCTTGGTCACCTAAGAGTCAAGTAGTATTAGTTGTAATAAAAGTAGCTAGACCTCTGTCAACTGTTAAATTTGGATGCCAGAGCTGCATTGAATATCACACCACTACTCTTTGGGAGGTAGGAAAGTAATTTGAAAACATAAGTTCAAGCTGGAGGACTCAGACCATCATCTCACTACGCCTGTATTATTTATCAATATTTGCTGTATAAATACAAAATAAAAGAGTGCAAAAATGTGAGGAACTGCTACTTATTTTCAATTGTATAAAAGGCAAGATGAGACAAATTATCTGAAATGATGTTTACCTGCAGTCTGTAGTTGCTTATTTCTGTTTCCTGACTCCAGTTCTTGTTTTGCTGCTCTCTCTTTTCCCTAGAAAGTACAATGGTCACATAGACAATAAGCCACTAACGGTTCCCAAGGACATAGACTTACAGCTGGAGACGAAATGCATCACGGAAGTGGACACATTAGGTATAAATCTAAGAGGGCAAATGGTTAATGAAGAGTTTTCTTTTCAATTACACTCTTTAAGTGTGTATATACTGTGCTGTATATGTTTGGATTAAATTATACTCCTTATGCCCACAGCATTGCACTACTTCCCAGAGTTCCAGTGGCTGGTGGATTTCACAGTAGCGGCAACTGTGGTCTATCTGATAACAGAACTCTACTACGGTGTGGCTCAGGCCTCAGGAGAGATGAACATCAGCGTGGTCTGGTGCCTGCTAGTGCTCGCTTTTGTCATGTATCCTTACATCAGTGACTCTTTACACCGAAACTAAACTGAGGAGACAGTCCGATAAGAAATAGGGCTAACCAAGATGTAAACTGTTTTTTTTAACTGGTTGTATATTATTATGTCTGTTGGTGGGCTGGAAACATTTGAGGTATTCTATAGACTCTGCGTTTACACATTTCTATGATTTCCACTTTACGTTCTTCACCATCCTATATGTCGCAGGTTGACATCTCTTTGTCTTTAAGAGACCGAATCATTCCAGATTGTGTGATTGCAGCAGTGGCGAGGAGAGACTATAAAATACAGCTAACACTCCTACTGGCATGACTTCCAGGCAGCACCTTTATGCTCCACGGCTAACTGCTATTTTGCTACGTCGAATGATGGTTAAATAATATGCATTATCCTTGCCACCAACCACAGGGATCAATCTTTCCAGTGCTCCTGGTCGGGCCTGGCTCACCGCGGTCAGATGGTGTGTCATTTCCTGCCTATGTCGGAGATTGGAGGCCCAATTTTCACAGCCCAACAGACTGATATGCTTGGGGAAAAGGACAGACTGTGGAACAGATGAAATGGGACTATGAAGATGAAGATGAGGGAATATGTTGGCTCAATATATGTGTTAATGGGACACTTGATTTCAGTTTCCCTATTTCAGCTCTGATGATATGTTTAAGACTCTTGCCCTGGAGATCAGCTCTGCTGCCTTAACCCTCACTGATAACCCGGGAGCAGCATGCTCTTTAAGTATCTGAATCTTCACTTGAAAACCTCACTTTTCCTCCTCCATTTTACTGAAATTTAAAAATGTGACTGCATATCCTTACCTTTGGCCAATGTTGACAGGCCAACTCTGGCAGTACATTAATTGTAGCCCCACCGCATGATAGCTCAAACATGACTATTTCTCTTCTCAGCCTCATGCTGGCTCAATGTTTATACAGCTGTCTTCACAGTACTGAGTGGAAGGAGGGGGGAAAAAAAAGAAAGAAGACTCCATTCGATTGAATGCCATTCTTGAAATGGACTAAAAGGAGAGAGAGATTGCCATGCTGTCACCTGAAATCTCTCTGGCAACCAGAGTTTGTTTAAGAAACATGCTCTGTCCTTAGCCTTCTGATCAGTGTAGACGGAGAAAGAGTAAAATACAATTACAACCTCAATGGCAGGCATTGATGCTAAAGACCCACACATGCTTGGTATCAGGGTTTGTGCAGCATTCATGGGTGGAGCGGGGGTCACACGGGGCCTGTAAGTATGCACAAACTGTGTATTTCTGTAAAGACGAAACACATTTTGTGTGGTGAATAGCTGTGTGTTACTGTGTTCTAAATGTTTTGTGTCGGTTGATTGTGGAGACTTATTTCTGTTTGCCTTGAACCTGTAAAAGGCATTGAAAATATATCCGCAAAAGCAGTTTGTATTTGCTTTGTATGCCAGTGTGCTTCTGAAGATGTTTTTCCTTGACTCGGTCCCCACAGTAAGACCCTTTTCTCTCTAACGGCCCACTACTTCAAGCTGGAGGAAGGAGGCGAGCGTTCACTTTGCATTACCTTTGCTTTCTTCTTTTTTGTCAAAGCCATGGCCATTCTCATCGTCACTGAAAACTACCTAGAGTTTGGTCTGGAGACAGGTTAGTGCTCTACCGTGCTTCTCCCGCAAATGACCCCGTTAGTCGCAACCAAATTTGATTACTTTTGGCACCAGTGAGTCACTGTCAAATATTTTTTCATTTCTAGGTTTTGCAAACTTCTCTGACAGTGCGCTACAGTTTCTGGAGCACCAGGGCTTAGAGTCCCAGTAAGTACAAAATCAGTATTCTCTCAGTATCATTTTTGTTTTCTATGCCTTCATGAATTCTTTATGACTCATGAAACTACAGTAGTACCTCACTATGTGTTTTCTCTTTCACAGGGGTCCCATATCTAAACTCACCTTCAAACTGATCCTGGCCCTGCTCTGCTCCTTGATTGGAGCATTTCTAACTTTCCCTGGTCTACGCTTGGCCCAGATGCACCTAGATGCACTCAATCTGACCACAGCTAAATTTACACAGTGAGTCCACTACAGTAATTGTCTTTACCTCTGTGTTCACTCATGTATTTTTCATTGAATACTATTGATGTCTTCCTTATTCTTAATAATGAGGATGTAAAAGGTGGAAAGTCACAACAATATTTGTTGAAGCAAGACCTTAAACATCCGTTCCTGGTCAGGAAATGTTTTAATGTGCCTAATTTCTTTTTTACTTTTGCTTGTCTCAATGTGTTTTGTAGTTGCTTAAGCACCCTTTTCTAGGCTCAGCCTTGAGTTTGGAGTCCAAATGTTTATCCTCACTGGTATTTTAAGTAAAACAATATAACTTTCATCCCATCCTCCTTAAATGAATGAATTGTTTCTAATGATAATGGAAAAAAGCTTTAGGATAGTCTGCTATATTTGTGGTTCTGGGCTTAATTAATACGTGATGTGCCACAAACATAGTGCTCAAGTAGTACCAAGAAGCCAAATATAGTGCAGTTGTACTTGTCTCCTACTATTCAGTGTGTGTCAGATGCGAGAGAGCACCCTGTGAGTCAGATGAAGACTTCCTCAGTTAGGGCGGATTTCTATTTCAGAACTCACTGGGTGGCATGTCTACGACCATGATAGGGGGTGCAGAGCAGGGAGCACGTCGCATCCAGATAATCCACTTTGGCATAGCAGACTCTCCAAAATGGCCTCCTCTTCCATTCCCCCTCTTAACTGTCATGAGCTTACATCCTCAGACCCTGTCACTAGCAGGGATTATCTCCAAGCCCTTCAAAATCTGTGCCTTGGTTATCTTCTCACCCCTCTCAGGGAAAGTTACATTGATAGCATAGACCTTATTTCTCACTATGTTAACTTCAAATTTAGATAAAAAAAGAGAAGATTTCAGTGAGCTGTTTGTTTATTCATATATGGGAGTCACTGATGATGATTCTTAACCATCAAGGCTGTATTCATCCACCACCATTCCTTCAGTCATCAGGTGTTTTTTAATTATCAGCAGTTTTCTGAAACATTTGATGTAGGACGACAAGCTGTTGGATGTTTGTCTTTAAACTGGTTAAACTGGGCATCTTCTCTTTCACCTCCCTTTTTCTACAGGACTTTGCTTCATATCAACTTCCTGTCCCCTCTTATCATGGTCCTGCTGTGGGTGAAGCCCATTACCAAGGACTACTTAATGAACCCTACCCTGGACAAGGAGAGTGTGCCTTTGTAAGTAAAAGTAATTATGTGGTTTCAAAAGTTGGCAAATAAATTCCAATTTATACTATAAATAACTTGTGTATACAGTCATAGTCAAATTTTCTAAGAAGAGATATAACCCACTTGTTGTTGAGGTATTTTGTAAGAGAAGTTAACTGTGTAAGTAACTTGAAAGTGCATAATTATATTCTTTGCTAATAGTTCTAATAATTGAGCATGGACAATGAACTCTGTGGTAAAAATGCTTTGTAGCTCATGTATGAGATTGCCTAAACATTTCTTGAAAGCAAGAGAGCGCTGAAGGTGTATTTGCTCGCACCTTTTTTTGATTGATCTGCACTTGGTTGGGCTCCCTTGATATCTAGCAAGCTAATTACCTGCCATTCAAACAAGGGGGGCAGGACAACAATGCAAATCTGTGAAAATAAAAGTAATTGTGGCTTTTGTGCTGGAAAATGGATGTAAACAATGCAACAGCAGTTATGAAAATGGAATTTACAACAGTTCAATGAGATAAGAAATGTATTCAGCTCGTAGATGAAGTGACAATACACACGTTGTCTACTCTGGTTAAAATTACACTGTAAACAAATTTAGTCATACATCAGGGAAAGCTCCATTGTATCTCTAACTGCTGTCATTTGTGAGCTCGTTTCTAAGATAACATCTTTCATTTGTTGCAAGTTTGAATTCTGTCATGTGTCAAAACTTTCTTCTGATGCTGAATGTGACTGTGATACCATCAAGGTCAAACATGATTAAGCCCGATTTCATGTTACAGTACCCCCTTTTCACCTTTTTTATCTCTCAATTTCACCCTCTCGTACTTCTTCTTCTGAGTTGTTTATGACTCCTTTGCTCTTACCATCTTTTCCTGTCTCTCATTGTCTCTGCCTACCATCCAGATGATGGAGCAGATACATGATGTGTTGAGTTTGCAGCCCAGAAAAAGCTGTCATCCCTTCATCATCCCCCCTCTCTTACTCACTCCTGTCTTTCTATTAATATCAGGATGACTGAGCAGACGTACGATACGTTGCGCTTATGGACCATCATACTGCTGTGTATACTCCGGCTCGCTATGATGAGACATCATTTGCAGGCCTACCTCAACCTGGCCCAGAAGGGTGTGGACCAGATGAAGAAGGAGGCAGGACGGATAAGTACCGTTGACCTGCAGAAGATGGTGAATAAGATAATATATTTAAAAAATCCTTATTATACCCTTCTGCATCAATTTAGAAATATAAAATCATATCATTATGCCAATAAGCACATGCCGTACTGTTGAAGGGATTAAAAGGCAGAGCACTGTTAAGATCAGTAATTCATAGTAACCGCTTAGATGGAGCCACCTTGCTGGATTTGCAGAGGTGGAGAAATTTAGGAGTAAGCCAATTTCCCTTTATTAAAAGCAAATATAGACACATTTAGGGTTCGGTCTTTGTGAATTAAGGAACAGAGCACAAAACTCAGTCATCTACACACAGGACATGCATTATGCAGTAGGCAAGCAGCCCACCTGTGGTGCACTTGGAAATTGGATACATTATCAGTGAGTGTGTTTAGGACTGGTATGAGTTGTGGCCAAACACATCAGTTCCTATCATTGCCTCTAAAAGCCCTCCCCAACATGAAGTATTGGCAGTTTGGTCTAGTTTAGAAGAGACCCCTCCTATGTTACAACTCCTATTCTTGTTCTTGACACAAGTGTTAATATACATCAACCCAAATAATATAATATGTAGCACTGCAAATACAGGTATACTACCAAGAATGTCAGTTGTTAGTTGAATTTAATTTCTAGACTTGGTGAAAGAGTTGTGGTCTACAACAGTGATGAAGATGTAGGGGCCAAATTTCTTACTTATTTTTTTTGCTAATGTGATGGTTGTATGAACTCATACATCCAGTGACCATCATCAGTAAAAATCCCATTTGTCTAATAAGATCTAACAATATTAAAACTAATATTGACCAGTAGGCTGTAGTCCTACATTAGATTATGTTTTTGAGGATATTTTTTTTTAGGCTTTGTTAAACAGTTTGCGTAAAGGACCATATAAATGCAATTCTTCTCTAATTCCCCCCAGGTTGCACGTGTTTTTTATTACTTGTGTGTAATCGCACTACAGTATGTGGCACCACTGGTGATGCTCCTACATACAACTTTGCTGCTAAAAACCTTAGGTGAGTCATGCACTGCTCAGTGATTTTCCAATTTAGAAGATCTCTTTGCCCACCGTAGGTTCAAGCTATTTTTCTCCCTGTGCTTTATTTATTACAGGTGGACACTCCTGGTGGGTCTATCCCGAAGAAGACCTGCCTTGCACCCATGAAATGAACTCTGACTCTGTGATGGGGGTGGCTCCAATAGCAGCCCCGGCAACAGCTACGGTGGTAGAAACAGGAGCCCGGGCGTCAGTAGCCCAGCTGTCAATGGCCCTGGGAGGCCTGCGGACTGTCTTCAGCCCCTTGCTTTTCCGGGGCCTCTTCTCCTTCTTTACTTGGTGGATTGCTGCCTGTCTCTTCTCCACCTCCCTCTTTGGTCTCTTTTACCATCAGTATCTCATGGCGGCATAGCATCAACAACCCAGCAGTGGCAGCCAGACCCACACAGGGCTACTGTGTGTATGGCCTGATCAGAAAGGACTGAGCGAGGACAACAGAGGCCTATTGATGACTCTGCTCCACAACTCCTCCTTTCCCTCCTCCCTCTGACCACCTCACAATGATTGACCATATCATCAGAGCTCCTGGTTCAACTTCCAGTGCTTCCTCCACAGATGACTCTGTGAACTGTTGTCATTGTTTTTACTACTACGACCACTACCTTTTTATTTGGAGAGAGAAGATTTATAAAGCTTAATAACAGACAGACTGAAAGTATGAGTTAGAAGAATATTAATCAGTGTCTGTGTATTGGCAAAGTAATGAGAGACAGGTCCAGTTTCTGATTACAATTAATTGTACATGTGGTGTGGCAGTTCTGCACAGTACCCCCAGTTTTAGGGAGGCCAGTAGTGAGAGTTTAATTGATGTTCCTTTTTAATACGTTTTCACAACTGGTCATATGTAATCCATCAACATCCTCAGATTCATGATGTCATCACATCTTTTACTGAGTCCTAAATGCAGCCTCTTACAGACTCCTTTTTAACTAGTATTGGATACGAATTACATCACCGACTTATCCAGGAAAAAAACTTCTGGAGTTACTCTCCATGACTGGATGGATACATGCTGTTAAGTTTTATTGGTTGGTACTTATATGCAGGGCCCTGACATAAAGAGTCATGCAACTATCTATATTCCAGTCTGTATCACAGTCCATGATAGTTCTAATTTCCCACAGTGACGCATTGTAAAGAAGCTGCATTTAGATCACAGAATATCATTGAATCTGGAGATCTTCATGGAGGCTTCATATTAGCCTAAAATCACTTTGTTTTTTCCCCTTGTTTTCTTAAGTTTTGAGGTAACTGATAAATGCCATACTTGTGCCCCAATGTGTGTCTTTTGAGCACACTTAAAATATGTGTTCAAGGGAAATAGCTTCTTAATGTCTAAATTCCATTTCTACGGACTACAAAAGTTTCTGAATGAGTCTTAAAATATATGCGGCAAGGACCAACGTGTCTCAGTTTGTAGGAGGAGGAGGAGCGAGGAGCAGCCGGTGGATATTCCTTGACTGGCTGGTTGGGTAAAGCCGTCATGTCGCTAACCAGGGTTAGACCGTGGACAACTGAAGAAGAGTTGTACCTGCAGAGGAGGAGGAAGAGATGGGAGACATCTCACTGACTTGAAGCTGATGTATTTAAATGTGTCTAATTGAACTTGCCATCAAGGACAAACTTAGTTTTTTAAAAGAAAAGGCTTTCCAGCAGATTTGTGATGTTTCATTTGCATTGTGACCTCCCTGGTCTTACCTGAGCCATTTTAGAAGCTATGAGAGAATTTTAAGCTCTTTTTTTTTGAGCAGCAGCAATGATTTTAAAGGGAGGACAACACTTAGGGCTCAGTCAAGGTATGTGCTTGTGTCCGTGTGTCTGTCTGCATGTATAGGATCTCTGCTGTAGGTCAGCTGTAATCTGAAAGGGCATTGTGATCAAGAGGAGATGATGTCAACTACTGTTGATAGGCTACCGCCTTCATGTTCTGCTTTCCCTTTTTTTTTTTTTCTTCACTTTTACCCATCCATAGCTTTTGAGAACAATCTTTTGTTTGTTTTTATTAATTTTCTAACGGATCAAATTGTGAATTTATAAGTTTTGATTTTTAAAATGGTGCCAAGTGAGTCTGTTCCCCTGTACTGATGTCTGTAGATTTGGTGTCTGCTAGTGTTTGAAACTACAACTGGACTACAACTCTGCGGCCTTCTGTTTTCTGTAGATCCATCTCGATGAAGCTGGAATCACAAGCTCTGGTTCACAACAGGACATAACAGTATTTACAGTGTCTTTGCACACTGTAAATCTTTGATGGGTAAATGTACGCACAAACAGTCATTGTGCTCATGAAGCACTGGCCCAACATGATTGTCCAGTTTCTTCAGGAATGTAGGGTACGTGATGCCAGATTGATTACAGATCACGCAATCTGGAGGTTCTCTGGCATTTGATTTTGTCATTACATTTATTATATCATAGAGTTGTAATTTATGAATTCCAGCTCTGTGAGTTTTGTACAGAAAACATTTTACAAAGTCGAGCAGCACCATATCACATTTTTAAGCTCCTGATTTCGAAAGTCTTAGCTTTAGTTTTGTGTGTTTGAAATGATGGGGAATATGCACATAATGAATGTATCAATCCTGCCTAATTTCTAGATTGTTTTCATACAAATGATTTGTATGGTGAGTTGATTTAACCCCACCCCACCCCCACGCCATGCTCTTCCTGAACTCATTACTAGTCTACTACCATCTGTTAAATCTACCTTTCAAACAAAATCTAATTTGTCCTAATGACTGTTTTTATTGATTGACTTATCTTTGTTTTTGTATTTATTACACATGTCGAGGCCTGTAAACATTTCTAATTTTAACAGCAAACTCTTTATTTTGTTATTGGAATGCATGGTGGCTCACGTCAGTTTTGAAAATGTGTTTGACAAATCAGTTACAGATTAACCTTCTTTTTTTTTAATGGTCCGGTCCGTTAAGTAGCTGGGATAATCAGAATTCAGTGGCCTAATGAGGCATTGTTTCTTCTGTTTGTTACCACTCGAAGTGTTTATTATTCATTGTTGGGTTCACGAAGTAAATTACACACATTGTTGTTCTTTCATGTATTTATTTCTGCTTTAGATTTTGTCTTAAATAAATTATGTTCTTTACTATGTCCTTTATTTATTTTATCCTTATTCTCCACTAGCTTCATATATGACCTTAGCAGTAGCACAACAGGGATATGGGTTAATTTACAAAGCTTTAGATGTGTTTGGAACATCTATTTGTTTTGAACAACTGATAAATTCAAAGCAAGTTTCTATAATAAGCCAGTCAGCTCACAGTCCCTGTAACAGTAGCAATCTCAGATGGATGTATTGCTCACAGTGATTAAATGCTGCAGATGACTAAAGGGAGAAACTGAGTTTGGATATTTAATATATCCATATTCACTTTCATGAGTTTGTAGGTCAGTAAATTACCAAAATAACAGCAAGTCTGTATTTCTATTGAAGTTCGATGATACTCTGTCCCATAAGAGTGACTAACAACTTGAGAAATGATGCCTCACCAAGGACTTGTTTGTGAAATAGTTAATGGACTCAGTCTGCCTGTCTTTGTTGAATCTCATTCTCTCCTTTCCTTCAAATCATGCCAAAAGGAGTAAAAGACCTTGAAATGGGGTTGCAATGCTACCATTGCTTAGTACTTAGGCTTTTCTCTGCATCTCCAGTGGCTCCTTTTTGGGTCCTCAAGGTCACAGGCAAGATTTAAAATTGCGTCTTTTTTAAATTTTTTTACTAGTGCTCAATAATACTGTAATTGTGTTTCAGCATCACTCTACTTATGAAATATGTCCTTGTGCAAACTGGCATTAATTTAGGCATTCAGTGGCCATCGATCGATTTGCCTTTCTTAGTTTGGCTTCTCTATTCTTATGGGAAAGGTTAGTAGAGTAGATAAAGAGATGAAATGACAAGCGCTCCAAAACTACTCTTAATGCACACAATTCTCTTCAAATAACATCGGGCCAGTTAATACAGGCCTTGAGTGCCATTGTCCACATGAGCGGGAAAACTGGACCAATGTATTCATTCATAGGTAGACAGATCAATAAGACAGCTTCCAAAACAAACCATTGGAGAGGTTCTTTTATGCCTCTTGAGTGGGGCCTATTCAAAGAAGTCCCTCTCCGTAGAGCGGCGTGGAGCTCCACTTCGGGAAGGGGAGCAGAGCCCCCCACCCTTCCGTCCCCAACACAGCCGCAAGAACTGAGAAGCTTCTGGAGGGGCTTTCTCTCTGACACAGAATGGTGATCCCACCCTCATGCCGATTGTGAGAAGTAGCAGCCATACTTCATGCCTGACCCGGCCTTGTATCACGAAAGACCTGAAAGAGAACTCTTTTCTTAGTTTGAACTCCTCTGACCTGTCTTTTTAAATTTTTTACTTTCTTTACAAGGATCTCCAAATTATGACAAAGCTAGGAAAAACAGAAAAAAGGTCCCCTGCTAAATTCAGTGCCAATTACAGATTGGTTGACTAGGATCAGCATGAAGCAATCACCTTAAATGTAATACATGCAATTATCATCTTTTCATTGCCATGACAACAGCTGAGAAGGTAGCACCAAACATTTAAGCATCTGTAGATGCAGTAAGGAAGTGGGCTTTTGAAAAACTGACATTTCATTGAGCACATATTCCACAAAGCAATATAAAATAATTTAGAAAGGCAAAACGTAGTGACACAATTCAAAATTAAACAAGCATTTTTATTGACAATTGAGATAAAAGTGCAGTTCATTGACAGGTAGTAAGTACAGGAAACATTCACAATGTATTCAAGCCGTGTTTGAGTGATCAAGACACATTAAAATTGTAGATAAGATATGACAGTGAAATGGTTATTTTTAATAATGAAGAACAGAGAATACAAGTTTGGATTTTGTTTGAATCATGTCAAATGTAACATCCAGTGTTTCTTTGTATCAGTCGTCAAGGAGCATAACACGATGCACAGAAAGCCAGTGAAACACATTTAAGGTGACGTAGCATTGTGAAATACCAATTTTATGTTTACTTTTGTCCATGTTATCCCACACACTGAATTTACATCATTCATCATTCACATCCCCGCATATGTGAGACATTGTTCATCTATATAGCTGTCTGTGTATTATGACCTAATTGAGTTAAACATGTACCAGTTATCAGTGCAAAGCAGGGAAAAATGGAGAAGAAAAAAAAAGAAAGAGATTCTCGCTAAGCAAAGTACATTTAAATCTCGTCATGGTTAAAATTGGAGGTCCACCGCCTCGTGCTAGAAATATGAAATGGCTGACTGCCCTTGTGGTAATCACCACTGCTCTTACATTAATTCATCTCCAGATGAACATTGTTCCTTTGGGGATTTCCATGCTTCGTTGTTGTTGCCCTTTAATCAGCAGCCTCCTGATAGACACTATACTGTACCACAGACACAGTATAGCGCCTTTAAAAGTGTGTGTGTGTGCGTGTGTATCCATGTATTTAGCAATTAAATTAATCGCTTCTCTTTGACACAGTGACACCCCCCTTTTTAATTAAATATGGATTATATTTTGTGTTATTATTCCTAATACATCTTGGCCCTTTTTACTATTATTGAAAATTAAACTGAAATATATTGTGATGAAAGTGCAGCTTATCATTCTCTCAAGTATCACACGGTAACAATAGGTGCATTCAGAAGCACCAGCCTGCCTGGTTTTTGATCAGCTTTTTTTTTTTTTCCAGCGATCTACCAGATATATTACTATCAATAATTGTATCATTACAACACATTTAACTTTAGCTTCACACTCCTTTAGAGCGGAATATTCCCCCATCAAGACAAGCAAATTTCAAATGTTGTGTCTTGTATATGCAGTCCAGATTTACAGATTTACTACAAAAATGTGCTTAACTGTTCAGCAAATGAATGGTACATTCCAAATTAATTAGCAAAAGCAGCACTACTGTATAGAGCTTAATGTCTTTCATGGTGAGAAAGCAGGGGCATTAAGCTCACAGAAACTTAATAGATTTTTCAAGGAATCAACATGAATGAATAAATGATTTATATATATATATATATATATTTAACTCTTACTGTGTCCTATTTCTCCTGATGAAAAATCCTACTGTAGATGCCTCTTCAGCAATAACAACCAACAGAGTGGACTGCCCCCTAGTGCCACCAACTGAGTGTGACAGCGTATGGAGGGGGAGGGGGAGAGCCTGCTTGCTTTGAGCATTAGCAGAATGCCAGCTTTTCAGTGCCATCCAATCAGAGAGCACCTTCGTAACACGTTCATACATCCAGTGGAACTAGGTGGCGAATGCAAATGCTCCAAGATCAAGGTTTCTCCTTGGCAATGGTGCAGCACTTGTTTCTCTCCTTTCATGTCCGAATGATGATGGTGATAATAAGAGGGGAGGACAGGCCTCAGATTGAGCCAAAGGGGGGACGAGCATCGATGAGATCTTTGATATGGAATGCTGCATCATATGATATTAGTGTCATTCATAGAACAGTTTGATTGACACTTTATTAGAAAAAATTGTGAGAAATGCACCATTGTCTTCATCCATTTTTCATATTTGAATTGCTGACACTTTGATGCACTTTGGCGAATGTGGTGCTCAAACTAGGACAAAGGAGCTGCAGCCTACTTCACGTTTTCTTTGCAGGGTTTTTCTCTTTTCTATTCCAGAGAAAGAATTAATACAGTAACAAACATATTTCTATAATTGCTTCCTTTGTGGTCTATGCTCTTGCAAATGCACTTATATAAACACACACATATCCACACGCACACATACACACACTCATAACTGAAACCCGCATTATTTTGCTTCAGGGATCCTGTTGTTCTGCGTGCCTCAGGTCCAACAGACTTAATTTTCAGTGTTATATTTTATTAGGCTGATGATGCACATTGCATTCACGGAGCACTTCAACCTCCAGGTCCTCCCACACATTGTTGTAAAGCCAGCCTATGTTCCTAATTAAGACAATGTAACTCTGCGGTGCTTTCACGAAATGTAAAACTGATTGGAATGAAGGCGGCAAATTCAGAACATTACTCTGGATAAAGGGAGACATTTATTTTATGCCTGTCATTTAGCTTGTACCTTAATTACCACGAATGGTTTCTGCATGACTGTGAATACTTTCCTTACAGATTGGTTCTGATGATAGTGATATGCATGCATTGTATATGTTGTGACACTTCTTTTGGAAGGTAAGAGAAATAGACATGTTTGAAAATAGAGCATTATGTTTGTGTTTCAACTCCTGGTAGTATATTGTGTGATTGTGAAAGGGTCATTTCAACAATAATATCCTTTCTGACCATATCATGGGTTTGTTTGTTCATTTTAATTGTTTACACTGTGATCCCCGGTCCACTGGATTTGACTTGGTAAAGAGAAAAAAGGAAATCATCATTCTTGGAAGCACACTCTATGCCTCTAAAGCAAAATTTAACAAGAATATGTACATTTTCTGACATATTAGCTGAAAAACAAAACAAACAAGTGTTGTCATTTTGTAATAGGAAGCCAAATTCAGAAACTAAATAAACATGAATATATGCACTTGAGGTAATTTATATTAAATGAATCATCTTGTCAATCCATTAAACAACATTTAAACCACGACCTTGTTCGGAGAGTTAATTTGCCGATTGATCCTGTTTGTCTGTGAGAAGGTCACATATTGACACCGTGTTGCTTCAAACGACCCCTGACCTCTTGTTGCGACCTGCTGGAGTGCATGCCTTCCACCGAGGAGGGCAACAGGTCACTGGAGTCATTTGGAGGAATCCCAAGGGAAACTGGCCCCTGGACACTGGGCCCCGAGCTTCTCTTGGTGCAGAAACACACACATGCTGTAGCTCCAGTCTCTCCTACTACACTGTCGGCTGGGGAGACATAGAACGTAAAAAGAGAAATAGCTGTTTGTGACTGAGACATGGAATACATATTTATGCTGTATATGCATCAAGAGTGGATGTTTTTGCAAAAGACGTTTGCAAAATTATTTGTGTGTCTGCGTGTGTGTGTGTGTGTGTGTGTGTTTTTCCCCCACTCTTTTTTTAAAAGTCAGCTCCATATACACTCAGGAGACTATGGGGAGGGGGG